CACTAACTGGATTATGCACTGATTAAGAGAATCCTATTATAAGTAGAAAAATATACCACATAAAACAATTTGAGTAGTATTTTAGCAATTAGGTTGATTTAATATATATATATACACTTTATCACTGATTCCTCTCTTTAAGCTTGAACATTGTTTAACCTCTCTAAACATTTATTTTCTTCTCAGTAATACAGAAATATTCTATATGCCTAATATTGTAGCTGAAATCTATCAATAAGACACATTTTTATTACTCTTTCATATATTTGTTTACTATTTATTGAGCAGCTGAATAAGTACCACATTCTGGAATAGACATTTGGGACATAAAAATGAATAATACACATGTTACCTAAATAAATGACCCCACCACAGTGCAAAGGAATTATTGAGTCCTCAAAAGATTTTAGCTCTACGGTTTACATAATAATTTTTGAGTAAATATTTGCTAGTTGAATTATGAATCTACAAGACAATCATTGTATTATAAGAATGACTCTTTGGTTATTATAAAATACTAGAGGTCAGGAAAGTGAAAGGCAATAATTGATGATTAAATCTTACGTACTGCTTTACCATTAATTCATTGAGTCCTGTCACATTATTACATTTGCTACTCTCGGGCATCTTGTGGGGTCAGTGATTAGATATTATTATATTTGCTGTTATTAAGACAAAGAAACAAGCTCAAGAAATTAAGTGGGTGTTTCATCACTTAGCTAATAAGATGCAGACTTTAAGTTATCTGAATTCAAAATCCAATGGCTTCTTGCTAACCCAGGCTGTCTCCTGGGTGAGTTTTGCTCTATCCATCCAGTCAGAAGGGTTTCCTGTGGGAGGTGGGACTTATATGCTGTGATTTGGGACACAAACAGAGGAGAGAATAAAAGAGTTTATTCCCACTTATGTAAAAACTAGAAATAACAGCTAAAGAGCAACCATTACTGATGTGATTTTTTTTTTTTGGTTGTGAGTTGTTCATTAGCCTTGAGAACTTAGTAAAGTTTTGCCATTAGTGTCCTCTACCCCAATTTGTCTTAATTATCCTCATGGGAGTAACTGTGTAATGGGAGATGATAAAATGTTCCCTTTAATTTCACTCATCTGAGGTAATCAAATCTGGTACCAAATGCATTTGTATGTCTGTCTTTAATTATTCCCACCACAGAAGATCTCCATTTCTCTCCATCTCTTTTTGTTAAGCTCATTAAGGTGTTAAGTGCAAGTTACAGCTTGATGGAACAAGGCTCCAGACAGTCTGAGTTGAGAAAAACCAGCACTGTGACTTAGTTGCCACAAGACACTGTTGATCAAACATTAGGTAAATTGGAATGGTGTTAGATTAAAGGAAAAAAGTCAATAAAGGAAGAAGAGTGAGCACATCAGAAAGGGTATTCCAATACAAAGTTTCAACAAAGTTGTTGAAATTTTCTTCAAGGTCTTAGAATGCCACATTTTTTAAAAAAGGTTATAGTTTATAGGAAAAAGAAAAAAGGAGAAGAAATATTTTCTTAGGTCATATGAATACAATAGTTTATCCATGTTTTCCTTTAGAAAGATGTCTCATTTACAAGTGCACATGTAAAAAGAAAAGTTTGTACATTTCAATACACTGACTTGGTATCAAAATTTTAATCTGTCACTGCAAACCTTTAAAATATTAATGGGAAAACATCTTGTTAGAAATAGTTCAACACTAAATACAAATTCGTATCAGTTTTTAAAAATTATTTGATAAATTCTATTTTCGGTAATTCTCTTTGAATTCAGAGGTGTTCATGTTTTCAGAAGAAAAGCTCTTTTGCTAAATTTGTAATTTTTTTAGAAAACAAATCCATTTCCTTATTATCTGCAATTCGAAGGAAACACTTCCAATTTACCAGAAAAGTTGTTTAAGAACTCCATTTTGGAGCTTTTCTTGTATAGATATAAAGCTTCAGGTTTTTCACACCCTCACACTTTCCATCTGAGAGAAAAGTTTTCCTAGATAAGAGCTCTGAATATAATTTTGAGATGAGCTGGACAGAAACTTTTTAATTCCTCCCAAAGGCTTTGCTTTCACAAGAAAATCCTATAACTTGAAAAGACAAGCCTTTTACTCTTAGACAGCTTCTTGTGGCTTGGAACAATACTGGTATCAAGAACTTATTACGAAAGGCTAAATCACTTGGGGATAAATCAGTTGCTGCCATGAAGTTAGCTTTTTCCCTTGGGCTCAGCTCTAAAATCCGAATTAAGAAAAAATATGAAAAGAAGTGCAAACTAGATCTAGGGTAACTGAGACTGAGCTTCCATTTCAACTCAGTGAAAGTCTTAAAACTCCTTAATTTCCTCAAGTTTCTCATATTTATGAGAACTTATTTATGGCTCTTCAGAAGTCTGTATTTGCAAGTATGGATCATCTTCCTCCACAACAAACCTGCCATAACATTAAGCATATTACCCAACATATTCCACAAATTATTTCATACCATGCACAGCATGAGAACTATCCTTCACAGACATTTGAAAGGATCGGGAAGAGACCAGATCAACATTTTATAGCCTCTGTGATCTTGCTGCTTCCCCTCTTATCACCTTCATCTCTTTCTTGTTTTTTTTTTTCCCAATAAGCTAAAAGAACAAAAACCAACAAAACCCACTTCTTTTTCTACTTAAACAAGGAATTCAGGTCCTTGCCATTTTAGAACCAAGCCAACAATGCAAACTGAAACAAAGTATTTCCGATGAGATAGTCTTTACCAGTGCTTCTTAAACGTCTTCCCATTTTGGAACAGATAGAAAATCATATTTACTCAGTACTATGAGAGTCAATGAAAAGGCACTCATCGGAATGTCTTGAAGCCTCCAAGAACCTGAGCGCTGAGAGGATGGGCATTCTAAGTCTCGGGGGTTCCGCAGTGGGCTCAGCATATTGCCTGTTAGATTTGGGCTAAGTTCTGCAAGAGCTACTGTGTTTGGACGAGGAGACAGGGAAGGAAGATGGCTTTATCTGCATGGTGAGATGTTAGAGATTCTTGGGGCGCATCTCCAGATATCACTTATACAAGGGAAAAAGATTTTTTAAAAAAACAATTACAGAATCCTGGAGCTGAAATAAAGACATTAAAAATATACTAATTATTCTCAAATTATATCTCCAATATAGTGTTTCCTGACCTCAGAGAATGGTGACATCAACTATCCACCATTTATATATTATATATACTAAATACAACTCCCTGCTAACATCAACATTTTATCCCATCTGTCCACTTCATAGCAAACATCATATTGTTCACTACATCACTATTGTTCTCTGTCTTGCCTGCTGGACTATAATTTCCAGTAATGAAAAGAACCATATCTTTCTTGATTACCAATGCATACTTCCTACCTATATGGAATCAAGGTTAAAAAGATTCCACTTAGCCTACAGTTATGATCACACAGACCGTAAGAGACAGAGTCCTCACTGAATCCTACATCCTCTGATACCAAAACCAGAGCTCCTTCCACTATATTCCAGGTGCCTCCTACAAACAATAGTAAAGAAATGACAGGGGCCCCTGAAACCTTGTTTAAAAAGTTACCCCCATTTTTCTACCAAATCTTGGGCAATTTTTCCTAATACTGTAACACACCTCCTTTAGAGCAGAAGAAAAGCACCCCTTGCAAAACTTTCAGCAATGGAGTAGCCACTCTATCTCTCTAATACACTGGGCCGTTAAATTATTATAGCATGATTATAACAACAATGAGATATGCCAGGGAATGATGGAATGCCAACCAGCTTCTGCGGACAAGAAATATATACTTATATTCTGTGATAGAAGTCAGTCAAGCAGAGACTTTGCAAATAAGTGGCAGTCTACCAGTTCTCACAAAAAGCTGACCGATATTAGCCTTGTGATATTTTAGGGGGTATTCCATATATACTTTCACTTTCTTTATTTTCATTCTTGGGAGGGGAATTTAGACCTCAAAGATATAATCCCATTATATATTATTTGAACATTTACTAAACATCTTCATCTGTTACCACTAATACAGACAACTAAGGAAACACTGCAGGGTGGGTTTGATTTAATCAAATACAACTTTTTCCTTTTTTAAAAAAATACGGGATCCCATTTTATTTCATTATTAGGAATAGCTCACTACTTCATCCAAAACTGTTCAAAAACACCTTATTTAAATAGTCGTGGTCTCAGAATAGAAGCTTCAAACTTTCAAAATACAAGTTTTGATATATTAAGGCTCAAGTTGAACTATTTACAAAATAGCCCCAGAAGTTTCATCAAAAGAAATCAATTCTTGAAGAAAAGAAAACCAAGAAAACAGGCTTAGAATAAAAACAAGTTTTGCTATTGAAAGAGGAAAAGTTTTTTTTTTTTTTTTTAACTGGAGATTCTTAGTGTCAGGGTACAAACACTACAAAATTATATGATGAAAACAAGGTTAGTGTTCTGAGGCTCCAATTTCATCCAATGGTAGGTACTTTGAAGGAAACTATTTATATATGAAAGAAACAAAAACATGTTGAAGAGTATGCAATACCTTATAAATGTTTGCTCAAGGATGCGCTGTCACTCTTCTATTCATTATTAGGAATAGCTCACTACTTCATCCAAAACTGTTCAAAAACACCTTATTTAAATAGTCGTGGTCTCAGAATAGAAGCTTCAAACTTTCAAAATACAAGTTTTGATATATTAAGGCTCAAGTTGAACTATTTACAAAATAGCCCCAGAAGTTTCATCAAAAGAAATCAATTCTTGAAGAAAAGAAAACCAAGAAAACAGGCTTAGAATAAAAACAAGTTTTGCTATTGAAAGAGGAAAAGTTTTTTTTTTTTTTTTGAACTGGAGATTCTTAGTGTCAGGGTACAAACACTACAAAATTATATGATGAAAACAAGGTTAGTGTTCTGAGGCTCCAATTTCATCCAATGGTAGGTACTTTGAAGGAAACTATTTATATATGAAAGAAACAAAAACATGTTGAAGAGTATGCAATACCTTATAAATGTTTGCTCAAGGATGCGCTGTCACTCTTCTCCACTACGTCACCTGGCCAGAGAACTGTGAGAGGCAGCTGAGTACTGGTTCGAGTTTGCTCTTCTTCTTTTCTGTTTTAGCCTCCAGTTCATCTTCTTTTTGTTCTTGAATTTTAAGTGGAAACATCTGTATTTCTGAAGTCTTGAAGGACCAGAGGCACAAGAAAATATTTTGTTAAGACTGGGAGTGGGTAGCATTATTGTCATTAAGAACTGCGAGAATCTGCTGGACAGACGCATTTTGAAAATATTTGGTATTGAACAATAAAGATACTGCCACAGTAACTGGAAGTGAAGAAAGCAGTTCCCCAATGGTTATTAAAAGAATAACAGATGTCAATAGTAGTCAGACACATTTTTGCCCACAGTGAATGAGATACCCCAGAAGGATTTTTTGAATTGATTGGAGAGATCTTGAGTTTCCTCAAATCTGCAGCTGAGGATAAAGTCAGAACAAAACTCTTTTTCTTACAGCTTTCTTGAAATATAATTGACATAAAATATAAGATATTTAAGGTGTACATCATAATGATTTGATTTATTTTTACACTGTGAAAGGATCCCCTCCATTTAGTTGATTAACACATCCATCGCATCCATTACCTCACATTTTTAGCTCTTTTTTTTTTTTTGGTGAGACCATTTAAGTTCTACTCTTAGCAAATTTGTATTTACAATATAGTGTTATCCACTACAGTCACATTTTATTAGATCCTCAGAACTTATTTATCTTGTAACTGAAAATTTGTACCCTTTTCCTCTCCCAATTTCTCCCATGGTCCAGCTTCTAGCAACCACTTTTCTACTCTTTGTTTCTGAGTTTGACTTTTTTCTTTTTTTCTAGAGAAAAACTTTGTCAAAATATTCTTAGAATTATATGCCCAGAGGGGTGAAGGGAATATTTTACATACAGATTGAACAATATGAAATTTCTGTTTTGTGGGACCCCATGAACACCACAGTGTGACGAATGCTAAGTTAGATAACAGTGCCTGCTTCTATGGAAACATGAACAGTGATGGGTGTTTAATTCAACTGGTGAGATCATGGAATTCTTAAAAAAGGATATAAGTTGAATTCGAAAGAGAGAATACCTGTTAGATATTGGAAAGAGGAAGGACGGTCCATGACAAAAGAATAATATTTGAGAAATTATGAAGGCCTAAAAAAATGTGAAATCTTTGGGGGGTTACAGATGGTTTAGTGTGATGATAGAGTTTATAAAAGATTAGTAAAGAATGAAAATAGCAATGGTGGTGTACTAGCTATTTACAACTCCATAATGAATTTCCCCCAAACTTAGTGGTTTAAAACATTTATTATCTAGTGGTTTCTGAGGATCAGCAATCAGGGAGCAGCTCTGCTAGATTCTGGCTCAGCGTCTCTCATAAGGTTACAATGCAGCTGCAGCATTTGAAGTGTGGGCTGGAGAATTTGCTTCAAGAACGCTCGTGCTTTTATCTGGAGTCCTTCCTTCCTCACCAGCTGTAGGTTGGCTGTCTGTTTCTCACCTCATGACCCTTCCATGTGGGCTAAGAGTAAGAAAGTAAGAAGGGCCCAAGATGGAAGCATGGAAGCCTCAGTCTTTTATACCCTAATCCGGGGAGTGACTTTTCATTATTTCTGCTGTGGTTACATGGACCAATCCTGCTATTCTGTGGAAGGGGACAATCAAGAGTGTGAATTGCAGCAATCTGGGGTCACTGGAAGGCATCTTGGAGGTTGCCTATCACAGAAAGTAACAGACAATGAAAGGTAGGCAGTAAAGACAATTTCAAGTAAGGTATATATAAATTAATACTTGAAACTAAACAGCTTTCACCAAATATACACAGCTGCCTTCCCATTGTCAGCCTACCCAAAATATAAATCCTTGAGCACCTTTTTCAAATTCGTACATAAGACAGTTTTACAATAAGAATAGAGCAACTTCTTAATAAGAATTCATGAAACTCTGAGGAAAATAAGCTATTTTCTTCAATGCGATCTTTAGTTGAACTGTGACATGTCTATAGAAACATGAAGCTTAAATGACAAATCATTTCACAATACATGTAAAGACATCACAGACCATGTATGAACTGATTTATCCAAGGTGTTACAGCTTATTAACTAGCTGTACTGAAAGTAAAATTACATCCCCAGTCTCCACCCAGTCTTCTCCCTCTGCTGCCTCACTGCTACGCGTTCTTCACAGCCATACATTGCAGTATTGCCCAACTGACTATGTGTTTCTCATGGTCCATAGTTGTACTCTTCAGTATAGTGGCCACTAGCTAGCTACCTGTAATTATCAAATTTGTATTTAAATGATTTACTATTAAATAAAAAATTTAAATATTAAAATTCAGTTCCTTAGTTTACCAGATACATTTCAAGTACTCAAGAGACACATATGGCTAGAAGTGGCCACACTAGACAGTAACTATGTAGAACATTTCCATCACCACCAAAAGTTTTATTGAACAGCACTGCTGTATAGTATATCTCAGATTGCCCTCCATTTTCCCTATGAGATATGAATACTGGCTAAATAAGTTCCCCAAATTCAAATATTATTTTCCCCCCTTATACTTAAATATCTGACATACAGGTTAGTCTGTGGCATTTAATAGTTTATTAATTTTGAAAGGCCACCATGAAAATATTAATTGGTGGTTCCACATCTTTTGCGAAGACACCTACAACTATTTAATTAAATATCTATCAAAGAATAATTAATTAATTAGGCCACAGATGTCAGAAAACACCTCATCAGTCACAGAGTTCTGTTCCTTTCCATGTTCTTTTCATTTTATTTTTTCTTTAGTTCATTTTCATACATATCAAGTTATTTCTGAAGCACTAATCTAATCAAGTTCCCTTCTTAAGGATATTTTTAATCCTTGATAAATTCTAATTCCTTCACATGCTACCAAAGCTTGCTAAATCTGAAATCAACTCACCTCTTTATACTTAACTCCTACCATGCCTTCAAACTCATCAACCTTATTTTTTTCTATTTCCTAAATTCATAAAGCCCTTTCTTTTAAGGCTTTGCATAGGCTATGTTTTCCTCTCTTTTCTTCTTTGAAACTCCTACAAGTCCTTTAAGGCTCAGCTCAAGTATTACTTCTCTAAAGACTTTTTTGGGCAAAATTCACAAGCTGTCCTTTGTGTTCCCACAGCTCTGCAGCATATATCAATAAATCATTGTAGCACCTTCTAGCTTGTTTCAAAATGTGTACACCCCCTGCCAGTCTGTAAGCTTCTAAATGATTGGGCTATACCTGAATGATTATGGACAGCACTGATGACAGTGCCAGCCATAAAACATAATTTGAGGGTGAATGAATCATTGGTTGGATGGATGAGTGAATGAATGAATGAATACGTAACTGTTTATACAACAATCCAAGATAAATTATCTGGGGTTTTTCATGCCTCTTTCTGGATTCAGCAGTGAATATCAGGTGGGATTTCTTCTGCCCACATTTTTCTGTGCATAGTACCTATGTCAAGCTTCATGGTTCTAGCCATGAGTTCTTGGAACAAATGTTCAAAAAACATGATTGAATCTCACTCGTCCAGCTAAATGAATGCAACTGGACGTTGGTGTAAGCCAAGTTGGATCTCCCCAATAAATTTAAACCTGAAATTAAGAGACCCCATCCTTGGTCTGGCTGTTCTTTTGAAAAAAGAAGATAGACACATTATTAAATGAAGCTAGAATTGGTTGTTATGACAAGCGATTAAAATAGTCCCAAATAACATGGCATCCATTTAAATAGATCCATTTAAAGAGATGAAGCACTACCATAAAAAGCTTTAGCTGGTACTTTAATTAAAAGATCCCCAAGAACAGTCAATAAGACAGCCTCTGTATTGTTTTACATCAGCAATCCCAAATTCAATTTCCTATCTTATATTTTCTTCTTTTAAAGCAACAGGACTTCCGTCCAATCTTCTATCTCTTGGTGCCTTCCTTATGCCCAGCCTTCTCTGTAAGAGGTCTAGAACTCTGTCCAAGAAACCTGTCTACACATTCCTGTATTTTGTAGCAATCCATGCTCTTACTTTGTATCCCTGCATGTTATCTGACATAAAATAACATTAATCACCCAAAAGTGCTGAATTACTATAATGTCATGTATTTAACAATAATCATATATTGCCCATTTGAACATGCTTTGCAACTAATATCCTTTCAACCTGCTGCTACACTGGATAAGATTCAGTTTATAAAATAGTTTGGAATTTTTTGTTGGACTATCAACTCATCTTGGACTATCAATTCCCCAAAATATAAGTATAGCTCATTTCAGTTTAATGAACATTTATTGATAGATTATGAATTTGCTAGTCCCACTGTTTGTTGTCTTTTCTCAAGAGGTCAAAAGAAATGTTTATACAAATAGTCAATAAGGTCTCTCACAGAGGTGTGCATGATAGGCAGATGAATGAGCATAAACAAAAACAAGTTAGTCAATGATGTGATTAATGAGAACTATGATTATTCTCTATAATTTGAGACTACTTGACAAGATGTGTAATGGGAGAAGATATTGGTAGGCAAAGGTACAATTTATGAAGGCCCAGTGCTTTATCTTGCAGGTACTGAGGTATTAATTATAAGGTTGTCAGGAGTAATAGACTAAATGTTTCTGTCCCTCCCAAACTCATATGTTAAATTCTAACATTCAACATAATGGTATTTGGATGTGGACCCTTTGGGAGGTGATTGAGTCGTGAAGATGGAGAACCTGTAAATAGAATTAGTGTCCTTATAAAAGAGATCCCAGAGAGATCCCTTACCCCTTCCACTATGTAAGGAAACAGCAGAAATACAGCCATCTATGAACCAGGAAGCAGGGCCTCACCAGACAACAAATATGCAAGCATCTTGATCTTGGACTTTCTAGCCTCCAGAACTATGAAAAATATATTTTCATTTGAATACCCCACAACCTATGATATTTTGTTACAGCAGTCTGAATGGGCCAATAAAAGGAAAAGTGTTACACTATAGATACATATTTATTGACATTTTTGTTACACAAGCAATATTTTTTGTTTAAAAGATTATAGAAATCTGTTACTTAGAAAGTGAAATAATGTTCTGTATTTCCACCATTCAGATATAACTTCTGGTTAACAGTTTCA